AGTAGCTGGAATTACAGGCGCGCGCTACCACGCCCGGCTGATTTTTTGATTTATTGTAGAGATGAGGTCTCGCTGCCCAGGCGGGTCTCGAACCCGCGGGCTCAGGCAATCCACTCACCTCAGCCTCCCAAAGGCGCGGGATTACAGGCTGAGACACCGAGCCCGGCTAGCCTTTCTTATTTTTAAATGTATGCCTCTAAAGCTATAAATTTTCTTCTAAATGTGGTTTTAAGCATATCTTGTATGTTTTGATATTTCACATTTTAATAGAATTCAGCTAAAATATTTTCTAATTTTTATCAGATATTTTTTATAAATTCTTAACCTCTTAAAAATTTTTAACTTGTTTCATTTTTGTTAACCTATTAATTCATAGTTATTTTAATATCTGTGCCTATCAAGTAGGGCCTTTTAGGCCATTTTTAGGAGTTTGGTTTTGCTCTGTGACAAGTAGAGAACATAGAAGAGAAGAATGATATGAATGATAAAAGGTTCATTCTGGCTTATTGAGAACATAACTGGGACGAGGAAGGTGGCAAATGTAGAAGCAGGAAGACCAGTTAGAAGCTATTCACATTCCAGGTCAGAGATGAGGAGATGTGGTTCCACAGTTCAGTGAAGTACGAGAGTCAACAGTGAGAAGTTGAATTCCTTAAATTATTGTAGTTAATCAAACTTCTGTACCCTAAATATTATTCTCCCTAAAAATCTGTTTGCCAGAAGTCTTCCTATTGCCTGAACCATCCTCTTATACACTTTAAGATAGCCAGAACTCCATGGCTTGCTTTGGTAAAAGTTGAACTTACAATTCTTACAAATCCAAAAGGTTTTTGAATGTTTTAATCAATGTTCCATTCTGTTGTCACAAATAAAATCACTTTCAGATGTTGGGATGATTCAACTCAAAGCCACTAGATGGTGACCTCTACTAAATTTTAATACCAGTGAATGGAATTTGAGGTATTGATATTTACTGAAAACCATCTTCAGTGTTAGACTCTTAGAATTGGAAGGCACTATAGTAGCTGTTATTATTAGATTAAAGTGCTTTAAATGACTGGGGCTAAGTTACACAACTATTAGTAGGTAACAGCTAGCATTTGTTGAGGGCTTGCTATTTACCATTCACTTGCCAGTTGTGTAAATACATATTGCAAATTAGGATAACAGTATCTAATTTATATGACACGTCTTACCAATGTTAGAGTTTGGGGTTTTTTTTGTTGTTGTTGTTTTTTTTGCCTTCAAAAGGAGACTGGGCACTGTGGCTCATGCCTTCAATTCCAGCACTTTGGGAGACCAAGGCGGAAGGATTGCTTGAGCCCAAAAGCTCAAGACCAGCCTGAGCAACACAGCGAGACCTCCTTTCTGTCAATAATCAAAAAATTAGGGAGGTGTGGTAGTGCGTGGCTGTAGTCCCAGGTACTTGGAAAACTGAGGCAGGAGGATTACTTGAGCTCAGAAGTTGGAGGTCACAGTGAGCTATAATCGAGCCATTGTACTCCAGCCTGAGTGACAAAGTGAGACTCTGTCTCTTACACAATAACTGAAATTTTTTGTTTAAGGAGATTGCAATGGCCCAACATATTCTTTAATAACTTGTCCATTGGAGTTTGGGTATTACTCTACTTTTCTTACATCAGAAATATATTTTTGGAAATAAAACAATCATCAACAACAATATAAAAATATATTTCTCATTCCATGTATTTTTGTTGTCTTTGCTAATTTCCTCAATCACTTTAATATCTTTTTTATTATTTATTTATTTAGAGTTGGAGTTTCTCTCTGTTGCTCAGGTTGGTCTCAATCCCCTGGTCTTAGGCAAATCTCTTGCATCTGCCTCCCAAAGTGTTGGGATTATAGGTGTGAGCCACCGTGCCTGATACAATCACTTTAATAGATAACAAATTATTTTTCCTTTATTACATATTTAAATAATTCCTAATTTCCTTCTTGAATATTTTCCTTGCTATCATTTCTCTACAAGTAAAATTTAAATAAGAAATATCTTATTTGTCAGAAGAAACTGTATTTAAGAGATTCAAAGGGCATATACTATGACCATGGATAAGAACCCCTGGATCCTTCAAATGCTTTTATTGGGTAACTGAATCTATTTTCTCCTTTCAGATTTGATTTTAACTTTAGTTTGCTAAAACAAAATAAATATCTCTTTTAAATTTTATCTGTAATACCTGCTTATTTCCTGAGATATTTAGTCTTTGGTCAGACTCTTGTAATGATTAAGTGGATTTAATAGCAAAAGCAAGGGCATATACTTTGTAAACTTGAATGTTTGTCTTCTCATTTTATATCATACATGAGTGTAAACAATAGTCCTCTGACCAACGATTGTTGTCAATCATTATTTAAATAAGTCAAGTGTTAGTTTTGCCACATAAACTTTAGATTCTGTTTAATATCTATAAAATGAGGAATTTAAACCAAGATATTTTTAAGATTTTATTTTAGATGAATCATAGCTGAAGTTGCTGATATTGAAAATTCTCCATGGGAGATTACTGAGACAGGAAAATGTATCTGTAGAACATACATACAATATTATTTAACCACCATTTCCCCAAGCATTTCTATTCATTACAGGCTACAGAATACTCTGGCATTAAGTTGATACAATTTTTATGTGTTTTATGTTCCTCATTTTCACTTTAAATTAGTACTTTCTTACCTCACATCTAAGAAAAAAAATAAGCAATTTAGCTACTAACTCCTTGGACTCAGATCTTCACTTGACCTTCACCAGATGTGTGACTATGTGCTTGTTACTTATCTCTCTCAGTAGCTGCAACTATTAAATGGGGATAACAATAGCATTTCCTTTAGGGAGTTGTTTGAGAATTAAGTGATATAATACACTAAAAATGGTGCCTGGGACCTTCGTGTACAACTATTGATTTAGGGAATATAAGTATTTATGAAGATAATTGTGGACACAACAAATATAGCTTTTCCACAGGAGATAAATGTAACAATATATGGTAGAAGGACACTAAAATATATCCCATAATTAGGTAGCAATGATTAGCCTCATGCATTTATTAATATTGCTTTATTTTATTATTTCTGCATCCTAAATATTCCATATATTTTCATTGATAATAACAATATGTTGGAAAGAACTTTGGTCATTGTAAAATCTAACTCTCATTAAAAAATAATGAAATCAGTGAGAATAAAGAAATTCTCTAAAAATCATAAAACATGTGAGGGACAGAGCTGAGTTTAGAATCCAGTATCAGTAACTCTTTACTGTGTAACAATCCACTCCAAAACATAGTGGCTTAAAATAACTCATTTACTTAGTTCACGATTCCATGGGTTGGCAATTTGAGATGAGATCAGCTTGATGGATTTTCTGCTGAAGTTTGCTCATGTGTTACAGTCAGTTGGAGGGTTGCCTAGCATAGGAATGATCTAGGATGATGCCATTCACATATCGTGGTAAGCGGGCTCTTGGTCAAGGTAATAGAGGTATCTGGGCTATGTTTCTCTCCTCACCCAGCAGGCTTGCCTGGCCTTATTTATATGCTGACAATGGTGAGTCACCCAAGAGCAGCAAGGGTGGAAGCAGAAAGCCTCTTGCAGCTTTAGTTTGAACTTGAACAACTTCAATTTCATTGCATCCTATTGATCAAAGGAAGTCATGAAGTCAGCCCAGATTTAAGGTGTGGGGAAATAAACTCTACCTCTTGATGAGAGGAACAGCATTCCCTTAACCTCCCTGCCAATCTCATAGCCCTAATCAGCTAATTTCCAGTCTATGGCTCTCTCAATACAGAATCAATAAACAAGCAATTAGATAAGATAGCTTGCCTTTCTACTTAGCAGTCACTCATTTTATCTAGGAAATGCAAGAGTCTCTATTGAAGATGTGATACTTGAAGTAGTTCTTGAAGAATGAGTGTTCCAGAGAGAAGATTAAAACATTGAATTCAGATAGAAGGAAAAATATGTGGAAAGGCACAGAGTTTTAGAGAGAATGACAGGCTTTGGGACAGTAAGAAAACCAACATGACTTGTGGATTAGATCATGTGGAGAAGGGACAAGAAGTTAGGAAGATGGTGAGGCTGAAGGGGTTTTCTAATAGTCAAGGTTTTTCCATGCAAAGCAGAAGATCAGCTACCCAGTTTCATTCAAAAACATGTTTTTAGTTTACAAGAGGCAGTAAGGTAGTATTTCCATTTGGGGAAGGTATTTCTCCCCCCAGAACAGGAAATCTGAACAAATACAAGTACTATGACTTAGAGGATACTGTAGCAGTGACTCTGTGGATGTTCAGGGGACAGGAATTTCATTATCACAGCAAGGGCATGATAGCAGCGTGAGCTGGAATGTGTGGAACAACAACAAAAAAGAGTCCAGTAATCTGGACAGGTCAGATCATCAAGGAGTCAGAGATATAGGCGACTGTCTGAGAGTTCAGGAAAAATGGCATAAATCAGTCAGTTTGCCAGATGGTTCTATCTCAGCACTTCCTAGCTCAGAATGAGCACAGGAAGTGAGGCATTATGAGGCCTGCAGGTGGGAGAAATCAACGGGAGTGATGAAAGCAGACAAAGGAAAAGGCAAAGTCAAAGTGACAAGGAATTCTTTATCATCCTGGCACATTGGTTACTACCATAACTCAAAAGAAAATAATCTTTGGACTATATTTTCAGCTCTATAAAAATTTATGCGCTAAAGTGTGACATCAGTGAGACTATTTTTATCTCTTATTTCTTAAAGATGATAAAATAGAATAATCAATCCAAAATGCTACAGCTAAAAATGTTATTTTATATCCTTCTACTTGAATAAGTGAAAGCATTATCAGCTCCTGTTCATTTATATTCACCTACCTTCATCTTCCATTTCCCAAATTCAAAGTATGTTTAAATTAATCATGTATTCCATGGTTTCGGTTTTTACCCTGACCCTTGTTTTTATTGAATGCCTATTTAAAAATCGATTTAGCAATTTGTTTTCTTTGTTTCAGAGGACCTTATAATGTCCTTCACTGTATCCATGGCAATTGGGCTGGTAATTGGAGGATTTATTTGGGCTCTGTTCGTTTGTTTGTCTCGAAGAAGAAGAGCCAGTGCTCCCATCTCACAATGGAGTTCAAGCAGGAGATCTAGATCTTCTTACAACCATGGCCTCAGCAGAACTGGATTTTACCGCCACAGTGGCTGTGAACGTCGAAGCAACCTCAGTCTGGCCAGTCTCACTTTCCAGCGACAAGCTTCCCTAGAACAAGCAAATTCCTTTCCAAGAAAATCAAGCTTCCGGGCTTCTACTTTCCATCCCTTTCTGCAATGTCCTCCACTTCCAGTGGAAACTGACAGTCAGCTGGTGACTCTCCCTTCTTCCAATACTTCTCCCACCATCAACACTTCCCACAGTCTGAGCCGTCCTGATTTCCACTGGTCCAGTAACAGTCTTCGAATGGGTCTTTCAACACCGCCCCCGCCTGCCTATGAGTCCATCATAAAGGCATTCCCAGATTCTTGAGTATAGTGATTTTCTTGTTTCTTTTTCTGAAAGAAAATCAGAAATAGGCTAAATAGAATTAGGGTATGGCCTAAGCAATGAGTGAGTTTCCAAGTTGAAACATGGTCATGCAACTTAGGTGTTTTTATGTAAAATACATTTTCTTTTAACACAATTTTTTCCTTGTCTCAAAAATTTAATATTTTCCCCAGTATATTTATGTATTTTGTATTCAATGTGAGGCTTATTAAAGATAATGATTCTAATCTAAGAATCAGTCATGATACATTATACACATTTCAGATTAAAAATAAAAACTTGGCCGGCTACAGTGGCTCAAACCTGTAATCCCAACACTTTGGGAGGCTGAGGTGAGGGGATTGCCTAAGTCCACGGGCTTGAGAACAACCTGGGCAAATTGACGAGACCTCATCTCTACAATAAATAAAAAATTAGCCTGGCATGGTAGCATGTGCCTGTAGTTCAGCTACTTGGAAGGCTGAGGCAGAAAGATCGCCGGAGCCCAGCAGGTTGACAGTGGAGTGGCCGTGAGCGTGCCACTGCCCTCCAGCCTGGGCGACGAAGTGAGACTCAACTTAAAATAAATAAATAAAAACTTTAGATATTTGTGGTTTACAATTCTCATTCACTTCCAGTGTGACTATAAAGAGAAAAAAATCAGTTAGTTTTTAAAAAATCTATCTTAAGGAATTTAAATTTTACTTTCTTTAGAATGACAAGTGAAATGCTGACATTTTGCAATCTTGGACTTTTAATGGATTATGTAAACACAAAATGACAGAACTATAGGAGATTCTAAATTTCCTTGATTTAGCTCATTTTGTGTTGGAATTATGCAAAGGAAGCTAAACTCTTTTGGTGTCATAAGATGTTTCATTTTTGACACTTTTTTTTCTGTACAGACTTCTTTTATACTTTTTCTAAGAACAGTTATCTGCATCACTGAGGCAAAGTCCTTGGACCTACTAACATGATGATTTAACTTTTCTTCACTGTTGCCATTATGTTGGAAGAAAAGCATCAGCAAAAAATCCAATTCATTTGACCTAAAAATAAACCTTGAGTTTTAACAGCAAACATATTTTTCTTAAAGGCTAATCTTTCTTTTTTAGATCTAGCAACTGAAAAAGCACTTTATCTGGGAACTTTTTTGTAACTTCACGAACAAATAAGTATGCATCACTAGTGGGACAGTTTGTTACTGAAATAGATGTTATAACCATGAATAATTATTCCTCCTGGATTGACTTTCAATCATCAGGTATCATTCCCTGTTTGTTTCTCTATGAATTTCTATTCCAATTTCTCTGAACAGTCTTTGATTAAACCATGCCATATGGTCATTAGTGCAGTTATTTAAGGATTCACTTCCACAGGTGGCCACCTTTGTAAAGGAGGATACATCCCTCAATGTGGGCACCAAAAGCTTCAGCAGCCAGGTGTCTGTGGCTACCCTTTTCATCTAAGGACTATTCAAAAACCTGTGGCTCATTTTCAATATGGCGAATATTTAGATTATGTTGTTGTCTTTTTTGTTACTTTGAACATTGAGATTTTCAATAAAAAATAAATAAAATAAATAAAAGCCTCTCATGTTGATTTCTCAGTTGCAGTGGTCACAGCTAATGGTGTCTGAATATTGGTCAAGAAATTAAACTATTTACATAATTAAAGATTCCATATAGTAATTTCTTTATTATTTTCACTTAGCCTATTGTATTCATTGTTTCTCAAGGATAATTATTCTTAATGTCATAGACGGCTATAGATGTTCTCTAACTGAAAACACAAGAAAGAAAGAAAAAGAAAAGAAGGAAGGAAAGAAGCAAAGAAAGAAGAAAGAAAGAAAGAAAGAAAGACAAAGAAAGAGAGAAAAAAGTCAACAGGATAACAATTTATTGCAAACTGGATTTTAACAAGAAAATTTAGCATTTGTCATATAGCAAAGTAAGATTTCAAAAGTGAATTAACTTAGTAACAAAACTATCTTTTTTACCTGCATGTCATCCTTAATGTCTAACAAGAGAAGTAAAGTATAGGTTTTTAATCTAGAATTTATACTGGGAGTTAAGACTGTTTAATATATCTCAAATTAGGAGATTAAGAGCAGAAATCTTCTGGTACATTTAACCATCTGGCAGAATTGTTCCTGCCCCCCATTCCATTATAAGACAATCAAAATGAGTATTTTATAAACATTGCACAGTGTGTAAAATGTGAAATTTTTTAAAAACTGGAAATTTTTAAAGTTGTATTTGTTTTATTTGAAATATTTTGTTGATCATGAAATAAAATTAAACTGATGTCAATTTTTTCATAATTCATTTATTAAATAATGAAAACACTGTCTTCCTAAAAGAAAAACATCTAGGAATTGTAAAACTCAGATATAAACCAGAACACTTTAGATGAAAAATTACACTTTAGAGTTTTGAATTTGCTAAAATTTATTGAATAAGAAAAGTCTCCTTTTTACTTAAGTATTTTATATTTTAACTCAATCTAGAACATTTGTAAATGAGTAGACTGAGGCACAAATTCTTTTTCATATAAAAATGTATAACAGAAAAAAAGTAACAACACATAAATTCAAAAGTTTTTTTTTTTTCTTTTTTGAGACAAGATCTCACTCTGTCACCTACGCTGGTATACAGTGGTGTAGATCATAGCTCACTGCAGCCTTAACCTCCTGGGCTCAAGCGATCCTCCTACTTCAGCCTCCTGAATAGCTATGACTACAGGCACACACCACCATCCTCTGCCAATTTTTAAAAAATCTTTCATAGAGATCGGGTCCCTCTATATTATCCATGCTTGTCTTGAACTCCTGGCCTCAAGCCATTTTCCTCCTTCAGCCTCCCAAAGTCCGGGGATTACAGGCCTAAGCCACTGCATCTGTCCTTAACAGAATTTTTAAATGAATGAATGCAAATGGAAGCCTTAGTAAGTTATTTGTTAAAAACATGACTTTATTTTTTATTTGTATATTTCCATGGAGTACATGTGCAGTTTTGTTACCTTTGGTGCATTGTGGTGAAGATGGCCTTCAGTGCATCCATCATTAGAACAGTGCGCATGGTACCCACCAAACAACCTCCCATCATCTATACCCTCTTCCCCATCCCTTGAAGTCTTCACTGTTACATCATTACACACTCTGAATTCATGTGTACACAAAAAATATGAATTTAGATTCTTACCTCACTAGCTAAATAAATCCAGAATTATTTAACTTATTTAGAGAATAAACATTTTAAATAAGGCCATATTAAAAATAGATAAAATCTGAAATAAATGTTTATTAAATCTATGAAATAGAAAGAAACACTTTTTAGAGCCAACAGGGTAGGATAAATTACAAAGAAAAATGTTAATAGTTTTGATTATTTAAAAATTCTGTTCATCAAAAGATAAATTTATTCAATGGTTAAAAACAAACAAAAACAAAAAAAGAAGAAAAAACTCTTACTATAAAAATGGGCAAAAAATGGATAGTGTCTTTAAGTTACGATTAGATCACATAACTAGATATGAAAAACACTCAGTTCTAAATAGATAAATTAGTAAAGAATCAAAGCTGGCAATTCACCAAAGGGAAAATTTAATTGACTAGCAAGAGTATGATAAAATAGTCCATGTTGCTGCTTAGAAAATGCCTGCAGACGGGTAAATAATACTCTAGCACTTTTGTCTATCACATTACTGATCATTTATAAAATAATTTCCTCACTGTTTGCAAAGGTACTAAGAACGGAGAGCTCCCACATATTCCTGGTGGCAAGAAAATCTGAGACTGCCTTTTTGGAAGACAGTTTGATGAAATCAATCTAGAGTTTTGCACTTGATAGACCAAGAAGTCTCCTAGTGCCTGCCAGACACACAGTTTTCTCTGAGAAAAGTGGTGATTGGTTTGTAGAGAGGCCAGTCCTGCTATATTGGCCACATTGGACTGAACCAGAGCATTCCATAGCAGATGTGAGTAACTGATCAAATTAGATATGTCCTGCTTTGGGGTGAGGGGTGTGATGAGGGAAGAAATGGGAGGATTGCCAGTACGAGAGGTCCTGGGGGGAAAGGAGTTACAAGAACAGAAAAGACCTGGAGTAAAAGACTATAGTATCCATTTAATAACACTCATTAGTTAAGATTTCTCATGTATTTTCATGACTCTGCAACTTGAAAGAAATTAACTCCTAACTGATTCGAGGAATGAGTGATGGAAAACAGACCTGTGGGGTCTATGCGCTAAGACAGTTTTGCCCTGACCCAGGCAAATAGGACCCTCACTTAGGGTCTTACATCCCATGGACCTCACCCTTTGGAGTACGTCTTTGAAATTTTCTCTATTTTAAAATTTATTTTATTTTATATTTAAATTTTTTAAATTTAAATTTAAGTTTTGTGTTGGGGTCTCACTCTGTAACCCAGGTTGGAGTGCAGTGGCACCATCATGACCATCACAGCCTCAACCTGCTGGGCTCAGGTGATCCTCCTGCCTCAGCCTTCCAAGTAGCTGGAACTATGCCAATACATGCCCGGCTAATTTTTTGAATTTTTTTTTGTAGAGACAGTCTCACCAAGTTGCCCAGGCTGGTCTTAAATCCCTGGGCTCAGGCAATCCTCTTGCCTGGACCTCCCAAAGTACTGGGATTGCAGGCTTGAGCCACTGTGCCCAGTTCTTTGAAATTTTCTAACTCACAGTTCAGTGTGTAGGACTTGCCAAGGCTGGCAATGCTATATTCAGGACAGGGCACCTGAACCTAGACCAACACCTGTGCAGATTCTCGTCCCTGTATATTTCCTTTCATGTGGTCTTTGATTCTCTATCCAATATGTAGGGTTGACCAGGTTCCTCAGGAGCTCCATGACTTTTATCTATGATATTTCCATGATTGAATCCCAGAATCAAGAGGACATCCTTCCAAGCAGATCATGTCTGCTGATGGGAGTATATTTCTTTCATGGAATTGCATGAAGTTGGACAACCAGAATGGTACTGACATGTTGATTTTAGGTGACTCTTAGAATGAAGAATCTTCATGTGAACTCATTGGATAATAAACAACTATGCTTCTCTTTAGTTCATTTAAAATATTCATGGAAAGATACCTCATATATACTCATGAATTCTGTAAAACATTTCTAACCATTCCTTTTTTATACTGGATAGGGCCCTGAAAAAAAAAATTTGTCCAAGGCCTCACGCATCCTAGGTGTGTCACTAGGCTGAGATAATTAGGAAAGACATAAGGCCTTTGCCTACTCTGATTTGGAAAGCAAACAGTCCATGATTTGCTGTAATAAAATACATATCATCTCTGAT